TTTATATACTTCAGAAAAATAATGATTTCTAATTCAGAATAGCAAATATAAAAATTTTAAATTGGTTGAACAATGAAGGAATATGAGCGTTTGGACCTCCAGTATGGCGACCAACGGGAAGTAACTCTTGGTCAATCGAAAACTATCTATTACGTTCAAACTTTTTATAATGACCATGGGCATGTGGGTATGTATTTTGTTAAAAAAAACGAACAATTAAGATGTGTTTATGAAACACTGTTGCCCCCGTATGGCAGCTTTTGGCGTGGGTTGACGTTTCTCAAATGCAAGTCAAACTCCTAGATCAAGGTCAAAAAGGTCAAAATTATTGGTAGCTGCAGAACTGTGAATCTCCTAAAAATATGTCGACAGACCGAAGATCTACAGTGCAAACCACTGAAAAAAGTTTATATTTATTGCGCTCGAAAAGTGAGCCGCTTATCGATTTATTTCTCCGTGTTTTTTCATACTGCCGTCTCAGAATTTTACTTACCGATTTTTTTTTTTTTTATATATATACATATTCTTGTATTATTCCTACAACAAAAAATTCCTTATACCCTTATAAATAGCTCTCATGGGCCTGAAATGGAAACCATCGAAATTTTTGCCTTTGTAGAGCACTATTTTTGATTGCAAGATAATTCGGTCCAACGCGCTTCGCGCAGATATTAAATATGAGAATATAGTTGATAAGGTTCACAGGAATTTTGAATTTTTGTCGTCCATCCAATTTTTTTTTCAGACAAGCGAGCTACAGTTTGAAACTAAGAGCTACAGTGTCACCCATAAAGAAAAAAAAAACTATACTAGTATTTATTTCGCACAAATAGTTGCGCTATTTTTTGGAGTTATTTTTCCTAATTCTTACCTCAACTGTACAAAAGTTCGATTTGATAATTCCTTTGACCCCTAAATACTTTAACATGAACATGTATGCTCTTTATAAAAACTTTGATTCCTCATTGTGGCCACACCCTAACCCTGGGGTCACAATTTGAACAAACCTGAATCTAAGCCAACTGAGGATGATTCCATAGATCCATATAAAATATCACCAATCATATGCATAGATTTGCTGTTCTACAGAAATTTTTAAAGATATTTAAGTTTAATATATTTATGAAAGATATGGCGATAACGAACAGTATTCCAGATCAAAATCCGTAAAACAATACAAAATAGGAGCATAGCAAACACGGACCTCCAAAACTATCTATATGCAAAAACTGATCCCATATTGTGTCCCCATCCTAATCCCAGGAGTTCTGATTTTTGAGAAGTAGATTTTTAAATACGTTTCCTTCCTATGTATTCATATGTAAAAACTTTGATCAACCATTGTGACCCAACCCTATCCCAAGGGATCATGAATTGAACAAATTTGAATGGACACCATCTGAAGATGATTGCACATGAGCTTCATCTTTCCTGACCCTGTAGTTTTTGAGATTTTAAAAGATTTTTCCAATATATTCCTATGTAAAACTTTGATCATTTATTGTGGCCCCAACCTATCCCGGGGGGTCATGATTTAAAAAAAACTTGCATCTACGCTAGCTGAGGATGCTTCCATGTGAGTTTCATCTTTCCTTGCCCAGTGGTTCATGAGATGATTTTCAAAAGATGCCATGAGCTTAATTTTTTACTAAATTCATAATTATCTCCCTTTGGAAGGGGTGTGGTTCTTCACTAGAATAAATTTAAATCCTCTTTACCCGAGGTTACTTTCTAGGAAATTTGGTTAAAACCGTCCCAGTGGTTCTTCATCAGAAGATGAAAACATAAAAAGTTTACAGCGTCAACGACGACCACGACCACGGACAAAATTTGATCAGAAAAAATCTCACATGAGCGATAGCTAGGTGCACGTCAGCTAAAAATCATTGACCTTTTTCTAGCTCAAGGCCCTTTTCACCCATAACACAACGTCGCAGAAAAGACTGAGAGGTAAATTTATTCAAGATTACGACACTTTATGTGACAAAGCAGCCTGGAGAGAGCTATTTGCGGACTTTAAGCTAGATTTGACCGTTTCTTAATGCGTACTCCGGAGCTTGAGAGGATGGCAGATATTTTACTTTACAGAAAATATTTAAAAGGAGGCTAGGAGTCAAATTTTCAAAACTGTTAACAATGGTTAGAACTAGTTTTTTTTAAAAATTAGATTATATTTTTTACAGTAATTAGCATAACAATTTACAATCACATAAAAATTCATACCAATGGCACCCTCCTGTTCTGGATCTGAAACAAAAGTTTCGTATGTAATTCACTCCAAAAATTTACAAAATAAGTCTTTTATTAAAAGGTTTAGTTAACTTCATAATTATATACAAAGTATAGAGATTATGATTTTTAGTTTAAGATTTATGTATTCCCGTTTTTTGTACCTCTCCTGGAATTTAGTACGTGCAAAGTTCGTGTCTTTATATCAAAATAAAAAGAAAACCGTAATAATAAATTTAAAAAAAGTTCTAATCATTTTTCTTTTTTTCAAATAAAAAATAATAATACTTGAAAATGTTAAATTATATAAATGACCTACCCATCAGAACAAATTGTAGGTAGTTGAGGACGTAGGTCCAGGCTAATCCATAGGCCACATCCCCTGCTGGAATTAGTGTTTCTTTCTCAAATTTGACATCCTTTCCTTTAAAGATAAACAATATTGAAATGATATTGGCAATGGAAAACATTTATGAATGTAACATAAAGAACCAAATATATCGTGTGAATCGCATATCTTCTGAAATACAGCTATATTTTTTACTATACTGAAAAAAAAGGTTTGAATTATGTTCAAATAATCTGTTGAACAAAAAGATTACTCAAATAAAAAAAAATATCGATACATTATACTTCAATGCATGCAACACTAAAAAAAAAAGACGCAAATGAAGCACAACCTAATACACCGTATACAACGGGTAACGCGGGGGAGTCGCTAAAAAGTATTGGGGAGTCGTTTTCAACGTATGGGGGAGTCGATTTTCACCGCTTCAGTGTCAGAAGTGATGTGGGTCACGTCTTTTTTCGGTATATGTAAGATGTATTTACAAAAAACAACTAGCCCACGGAAGGTAGCAATAGTTAAGCTTTCTGTTGGTCATTTGTCCGGCTAGCATATACGTCTTATTTTCTCAAACACTTCGAAACTATTCGACAGATTTCATATTTACGCAGATCGAGTGGTTAAAACATGCATAGTTTGCACAATCTACGACTTGTTTAGGGATTATAACAGATAAAACAACAAACGCAAACGTTAATCTTTCAAATGCAACAATTGAAATTTGGCTAGACTTTATAAAAATTAATGATTAAGACATTTTCTCTTCAGACAGTAATGGTTACGTAGGAGGGAGTCGTTTCTGGAAAAACACAACGCATAGGGGAGTCGCAAAATTGAATTGTACTATTATTTTAAATTTGTTTTCTTTTGCTAAATGCTATTTTGATAACTTTATAATTTTAGTAAAATGCAATATGAATAAAGATCAATATAAGCAATATGTACATGTAAAAATAAAAACATGTAATTATCGTTTCTTATTGTTAAGTGTATGAGTATATACCAGTACTTCATATACATTACTACATGTACATTTGATATGGTTTCTGCACGGATGAGCATGAAGTGGTAGAGTCCAAAATTTTCAGCATTTTAAATTAAATACCGTTAGGCAGTTAATGTCTGTACGTCCGTCCGTCTGTCTGTTAAGCTTTGGGGTACCCATCTCTTATCCGCAACTCCCCTTATACCACTGAGTGAAATTTAATGAAACTTTCACAGAAACTTTACTACATATTGCCATTGTAAATTGTGGCGGATTTAAGGGGGCGCACCCGGCGTGTCAAAATAAAATTGTCAAAGTTAGCGTAAATCATAGTTTAGTCTAGTAAATGTAAAAATTGTCTACTCGGTAGACCTCATTTTTACCCTACAAAATCTCTAGAATCCAGGAGCTTCCGGGGGCTTCGCCCCCTGGTCCCCAGCCCTCCCCCCCGCCTACTTTATTCGCCCCCCACCTAACTTCAATTCCTGTATCAGCCCCTGGTGACCTCCTATTTTACTTTTTGATCCGACACATATTTTGGGTTTCCCGGCCACAGCAAAACATTGACTTTGCCATTATGGCATGGGAGCCGAGGGTATCATTTAGTGAGCTCATTCCTCACAGTACCTCTAGTTTTCTTGGTGAATTTTTATAGCTCTTACTAAAATTAGAACTTCAGACACTGCCCTTACCCATAATAACAATTCTGAAATACACTGCACGAAACAGGCACGTATGAGAGGTCTTCCAACGTTTTCATGCAGAATAGTAAAATCACAGTAATATTTGCAAATGTGTTAATAAATTTTGGTTGAGAAACTCGGTTGTTACATGAATCTTCTTCCAACCTTTAATTTTTTTTTGCTTGTCAAAATTTTTCAGATAAGTTGTTTATAATTCTTTTTTTCATACTAAGTCTTATAAAAAGTTGTTATTGTAAGAAAAACTATAACTAAAAAAGCCTTTCTACTGTTTTCCTGAGCATTCAAATAAATCGCTGCTTGACAGTGGAGTGAGATGTTGGACCTGTTGATGAGCTATGGCAACGCTTACTTGACAGTGTGGGCGAGGTCACTGTCAGAACTTGATGGAATTGACCAAGTTTAAACTGCAGTGCTCGTGAAAAAAAATTCATCATGATAATATCATAATAAACAATATAACGATTCATTAATTGATTGTTCTCGGACAAAAATGCTTTTTGTCGACCCCTCAAACAAAACTTTTTGCCTTCGGACTAACGACCTCGAGCAAACAGTTTGTTTCTTCGGTCTGAAAAAAACGCATGTTACCCTCGAACCCTGTCTATGAATATATACATGTAGTACTGACAGTGTAAACCCCAGATAATCCCAAATATTCTCATTTAGGATACATCGTTTGTGCCTGAAGATGTGTTTATATGATAAATGAAAAATAAAAATAAATTATTTATATGTCGACCAAATTGAAAGCATATACCAGTTCAAAAATTTCTAAACCCATCCCCCCCCAAGAAAAAAAGAAGTCAAGGGGCGGGAATGACGCACCAGAGATTTCCACTTTTCTAATAAAAAAAAATGATTAATATTATTATAAAGAAACTTTCCATATTATAAATCCGATTGTTCTTTTTTTATGGAGAGACTGTCATTGTTGAAAGTAAGGGTTCGTGATCTTTTTGAATTTTTGTAATGTGTAAGAAAATTACATACTGAGCTAGGGAAGGATCTTGTCCCCATGCACTTGTGCTCCGAAGATATACAATCCAATTGTACATGTATTCTTAAACTAAAAACAACAACAGATTAGGTCATGCATTTCACTTTATTTTGCGACTCCCTATGCGTTGTGTTTTTCCAGAAACGACTCCCCCCTACGTAACCATTACTGTCTGAAGAGAAAATGTCTTAATTATTAATTTTTATAAAGTCTAGCCAAATTTCAATTGTTGCATTTGACGGATTAACGTTTGCTTTTGCTGTTTTATCTGTTATAATCCCTAAACAAGTCGTAGATTGTGCAAACTATGCATGTTTTAATCACTCGATCAGCGTAAATATGAAATCTGTCGAATAGTTTCGAAGTGTTTGAGAAAATTAGACGTATATGCTAGCCGGACAAATGACCAACAGAAAGCTTAACTATTGCTACCTTCCGTAGGCTAGTTGTTTTTTGTAAATACATCTTACATATACCGAAAAAAGACGTGACCCACATCACTTCTGACTCCGAAGCGGTGAAAATCGACTCCCCCATACGTTGAAAACGACTCCCCCATACTTTTTAGCGACTCCCCAGCGTTACCCGTTGTATACGGTGTAATATCATAATAGGTATGTTTTTACATGTTTGACAACCAAACTAGATTTTTTCGAGGGGTGATGAAACATAAGTTTTGAAAAAAAATATTTAAAGAAACTTTGTACTCATTAATATAAAGAGTTTACATATTAAAACAAGCAGAGAAGTAAAAGATGAGTAATTCATGTAATATAATTTTAAATATGATTTGACCTCTGCAATTCTGCTCAAAATTTTCTTGAACTTGTCGTTTACAAACAGTCGGCAGAATTATAACGATGATGTTATACTTTGCATTTACTATGCCTCAGTCGTAGTCAGAGTTTGACATATAGTGTACTCGACAACGGAAAGTGCACCATATGTCAAATCCTGACTCCTTTTACGGCATAGTAAAAACACAACAATTTTAGATAAATATTTAAAGTTTAATTTCATGAAAATACAAAAACTGAATATATGTTTTTTTTTCAATTTTCATAAAAAATTTGCAAACAATCAAGTTTATTATTTACAATGACTTTAAAAGATCAGCTCACAAATGTCATCAAAACTTAATCATTAAGTATTTAGACATTGCTATATAATTAATCACAGTGAACATATCTGCATACCTTTTAAAGTACAAAGAAGTCTTTCCAGGTATTTCTTGCTTTCATCAGTTGCAACATACGTAACAAAACGCAGAGCATCTGGGATGTCTTCATATCTTGTGTCCACTAAAACTGGTATCAATCTAATTTTCTTCTCAGTAACAAATCTTTCAAGAAGGATTAAAATCTGCATTGCAAATGTGTTGTCACCCAGGGCATCTCGTGTCAGGACCACTATTGTCCAGTAGGATTTTTCAATGGCATCAGCCAAATCAAAGTATCTCTGTCCTGCTTCATGTCTTGCGAGTTTTAAACCTTTTTTTTCAAGATATTCTTCCATTTCATGCCCTATTGCTTCACTCGCTTCACTACTATGGCATAACAATAAAGCCTCATTCTCATAATCCTTTGGTTCTTTAGAACTCAGCCTATCCAATGGTCTTTCAACCTTAAATTGAACTATGCATAAACAAATAATGGCAGTTTATATCTTTTATAAATTTTTAAATTTAAAGGTTTAAATTTTTAGAATTAAAAACGAAGCAATTAAGAGAAGTATTTTACTGAAATATTTTTTAATACTATTTACACAAATGTGCAAAGAACCTGATATTCTACGAGGGTAGTCCGAAATTTAATGCTAATAATACCTCAGCAGCAATTCCACTCAAATAGTTAAATGAATATTACATCTCTTTGAAGTATTCTCCGCGGTTTTAAATACATATTTTCAATGACTCGTTGATTAAGCTTGACCACTAAAACACGGACTGGTGAACCAATCGGGTTGTCGGGATTTGTAACGACGACCGAAAAAGAGCTTTTTAAATATTGGAAAAAGGGGAAAAGTCGAACGGTATTGAAAAGCTATTCTTTCATATGAGAAGAATTTGCATTATTTTTTTCTACTGCTTTACTTCCTAAGTTTTGTTATATACAACTATATGATCAAAAACACCTTTAAAATGTATACAAACACAAAAACAAACATACATAACACACTGTGCACCTTTCGAAAACATTCAAGCTGTTCCCAATTACAGAACCTTCTTTGCACATATGGTATTTGGTAACTACAGGCCTTATACCGTTTTTAATTAGCCCTAATATTTTATTTCCAGCTTTTCTTTGTGTTTCGAAATACTAGAAGTGAATCAATGTTTTGCGACCAGAAACACTGAAAATCGCCTTTGATTGACTTTGGTAAAACGTGTTTTGCTAACAGTTTGTTCTTGTTCCAATTTTAGGTCATCTGTCAATATACATGCATGCAGTTTTCTTCTAGCAGAAATAATTTGTTCTCTCAATATATATTCAAAATGAAATATACCCAGAATTGCAATGTGTCAACAGCTATGTTAATATCATAAATGAGTATCTGTCATCATTTTCAATTATCAGTATTTCCCTGAGATATTTGCCTTTCTTGTAACAGTCAAAGGACTGCCAGATTTTGCTGCATATTTGATGGACTCTGTGCCAGTCAGAGATTCTCTCCCCACCTACGCACTGTCTAGAAGATACCTTAACAGACCAATATACTTCCACAAAAAGTTCAATAAAAATTTGCATTACTGAATGACCGAGTTTTGTTCAAACTTAATATAAGCATTAATTTCTTAAAAATGCTCAACCTTTTCCCCGCCACTTTTACAACGGTTGTTTACTGTTGTGACTTGCTCTTTTGAAAAGACTATAAGTGTAAAAGTATGAGGATCTGAAGGCTCGTGTTTATACCAATGAAAAGGTTTGGTACAGAAATATTCAATTTTACCCTATCATCATCTAGGAAATGCGCAAACAGTTATCGCGATGAGGTACGATACATATCGAACAGCCTCCGTAAGCTGAACAAACCTTTCCAAACCCTTCCATCACTGTCGCCAGAGTTATGTCTTCTTTGATAGCTTTTAACATCTCGTCTGCTAAAACAAACCCTGGTCTGTTTTCTGCAAAAATATGAATAAACATGAGGAAAAATTAAATTAAGCGAACGATGCTTTTTTATATGTAAAAACTTACCACAAACAATTTTGTACGAATCAATAATGATGATATAATATTTATTATGTAATAATCAACAAGAAATCTGTGAGCCAATGATCACTAGTAATAACTCCACTCTGATGTTAATATACACTATCATGTTAATACCGTGAAAGCAGAATTTTTAGGGAGGATTTAATTTTGGCATTATTAACAAGGGTGATGAGATCACTAATATTATATATCGCTAAAATTCATTGCATTTATCTTTAATAATTTCTATAGTGAGTATTTTAAAATCACTAAAATTACATCTCGCTAAGATTAAAGTACCAATTTTTAAGGACAAATCGCTAAATTTGCCTCTTGCTAAAATGTCCACTTACTGGTATACGGTATAAACAAGTTCAGTTACGCACAAACATACGGATAAAGAGGAAGTCAACATCGGATTTGAACAAAAATAATTCCCACCATATGGCATACCTACGACGGCGTATTCGTGCCATTTTAACAATGTAGAAATTTTTTATTAAATCGTTTGTACGATTTACTAAATCGTTTGTACGATTTACTAAATCGTTTGTACGATTTACTAAATTTCATTTGTATAATTTACTAAATCGTTTTACCCTATCATTTAAGTGCGCAAACAGTTATCGCGTCCGTAAGCTTAACAAACCTTTCCAAACCCTTCCATTCACTGTACTTGTAAATAACATTCTATTATTTCTTACAGAAAACTTTACGATTTAACAAATCGTTTGTACGAAATAAATCGTTTGTACGATTTACTAAATCGTTTGTACGATTTAATAAATCGTTTGTACGATTTACTAAATTAAATCGTACAAACGATTTATTAAATTGTACAAACGATTTATTAAATCGTACAAACGATTTACTAAATTGTACAAACGATATTAAATCGTTAATTATGTCAAACAAACCCTGAAAAATATTTTTTTTAAGGAACGATGCTAAATTACCACAAACAATTTTGTGCAAAATTTAGATTTAACTAAATATCGTACAAACGATTTATTAAATGAACAAAAATTTTCTTATTTTAAACGAAAGTTAAATCGCTAAAAAAAATACTTTCTACATTGGACAAACATTTAAATGGCAAATAATTCCCACCATATGGCATACCTCAGCAAACAGTGTGCTAAAATTTCAAGCATCAACGATGAGTAGTTGCTGAGAAAACTGCAACGAAATTTTGTCATGTATATTACGGACAGCGGCACAAATAAACAGGAAGGAGACATTGAATTTGTACAAAAATGACTCTTTTCATATGGCATCCCTTAGCAAAGAATGTGCTAAATTTTAAGCATCTGCAGTGAGAAGTTGCTGAAAAAACTGCGACGAAAATTTGGTATGTATGGTACGGAGAAGAGCACGGATTAACAGGAAGTTGACATCTGATTTGAACAAAAAAAAAATCCCACCATATGGCATGCTTCGGTATAGAATTTATTTAAATTTCAAGCATCTACGATGAGTATACGTAGTTGCTGAGAAAACTGAGACCAAAAAAGTTGTTACGGAAAGACACCCTGAGGGCTTGATAGACACACGGACAGACACACAAGGGTTAAACAGTATACCTTCTCTCCTTCGGAGCGGGGGTATATTTGAATTTATGTATGAAATAAAATTACATTTAGTATTTAGCGTACTTATAAATCAATCTATTAAATGTTTATTTATCATTGGGGTATCTTAGAAAAAAAGTATTTTATTAAAAGGTGTGCATATTTTAAAATTCAAGTCTTATCTAAGGGCTATATGGAAGATTTGATCATGTGCCAACCCGTTTTACATCCCAATAAAACTCAAAAAAATGATACCTTATTACTTATATTTACACTTGTAACTGATTTATTACAAATAGTAAGGTAATTAAGTAATTAAGTTTTAAATCCATAAATTTATTTTTAAAACTTAACTGTATAAATTGAATGTATTGATAACGTCGATCGCTTATGACGTCACTATGAAATTATGTAGATCGTTTATGACTATACAATCAATTTATGGTCACATGACGAACGAGTTTTACAGACTGAGAGATGTAAAAAGCCTTGTTCAAATAGTGTTATATAAGGGAAAACATTTGCAAATGTAAATATACGGGATTGAAATATTTATCGGCGACCCATCAAAACTAGGCTAATATTGTTGAATTTTTACTGAAAACTGAACATGGGCACACAATAATTTTAAAAAATTAAGTCCTAGACTTATTCATGGTTGAGACCGTACACTCTTAACCAACTATTATTCGCGTCCTCTTTTATTCGCAATTGATCTGTTTGAAAACAACCCGCGACAACATCAATTTTCGCGACCGAGGAAACATCCTCTACAAATACTAAGCAAAAAATTATTGGTACACGGCGATAAATATTTGCGAGTAATAGAGCCGGTCTCAAAACTCGCAAGTATTTATTGCACGCGAATAAAAGTTGGTTTACAGTATACCGAGGTCCCGTGTCGCAAAAGGTGTTGGCACGAAAAAAATCCCTCACTCTCTGCTCCATGCCACTGAGTGTGTAGAGTATAGGTGTATAGGTACAAATTTGCAGCCCTACAACGGAAAGTGGTGGCGTCTCCATATAAGTATCGAGAGTGACGTTAAACAACATACAAACAAAACAGTTCCTCATTTAGGGACTTAGACAATAGTGTAGGGATAAGAAGTTATATACATAATTGTAATGTAATTACAAAATGTTATGCATATAAGAAATAAACTTCAAAATTATCGTGATAATTAATGTATGTACCTGTTTAAACATGTTACATTAAAAGTAAAGAAGAAGACTAGAGGACATGCAGAAATATAAATATACAAAAATTGAAATTACCATTATACATGATAACCCTTGCTTTATTTAACGTATTTTCCAAGCTTTCGTGATGTAAGAGAGCCACCAGTATGTAGTAGAAACGTCCAACTTGCATGCGTCTGTCACATTCTTGAAACTTTGTAGAAGTCGTCTCAATCATCTTCTGCATTCCTGCCAAAACTGCCGGATATTCTGCCACACAGTAATATTCCTATGTAATAAAGTTGATAAGAAGCAAAGTAAAATATTTTTTTTGAATTTTTAAATGTTTTATGATGTTTATTTAAAAATAATTTATGCGCTGTAATTAGTGCTTACATGTAAAAACAGATTATAGGGTTTTTAACGATTAATATACATGACTGTGTGCATACTTTCAATATATTTGAATGAGCATATTAAGTTTAATGAAATGAGTATGCATAATGTTCATAAACAACGACCATTATTTAAAACGTCTTTGTAGTTATTTCTAAGAGAAAAGCTTTGATTTTTTTCTTTCATTGGTACATGTATTTAACAAAATACGTTCAAACAGTCCTCTAGAAATCACTTAACTTAAAATCACCTGCTAGTCATCAAGTGCCTTAATGTCCTTACCCAGTCCACCCAACTTTCGGTTGCCCAATTTCGTGGAACAACATTGAAATTGTTGTGTGATGTTTACTTAATGGCTTGACTATCTATAGTAAACATTTTATCTTTATTAATCTATTTGTAACAATTTCTCACAAAAAGAAAAAAGATTTTTTTCATTGTTTTAATTCATTGTTTTAATTTTTTATGAATTTTTCCAAAAGAACCCTCTGCAGACACTATATTGTCTCTTTAAGCTCTCTCTTTTAGGAACAAATGCCGCATACGGTGTAATTTTTTTCTATTGTATTAATTAGTACAAAGACTAGATTAGTATAAAGAAGAAAAAAGCAAATAAATATAAAAATTTGTTCCTCCAGAATGTATGGACGCGATCTTATTTTTCTGTGAAATGGTCACGCTTCAGTTAACATTGTTGTTTTTTTATCAATAACATTTAAATGCCCTTTTTTTGACGTAACATAATAATATGTTAAATACATACTAAACAAGTACTGAAAAGTAAAAAATTACTTTACTTTCATTTGGTGGTGCGTTAGCAATTTTGTCTAGTGTATACAGCACATGTATACTGGATTCCGGAACTTCATCAGAATCCTTACAAGCAAAGATACGTTGTGGGTTCCAGATAATGTTCAACCAAATATCTTTCTTTACTCCTCATTAAAATATTGAAAGTAGTGAGGGAAAATACTGTGCAACAATATATTCAAGAAGTGGTGTGAATCAGATGTGGATACTCAAAAGTTCCTAAGAACTTTTGGAAATATGAAATCACAAGATTTTTACCAAAATCAATAGCTTAAAAACTTACGACTTTTCAACTTTATACACATCCATTCCCCACGATAAATTAAAGTCCAGGCTTTTTGATATCATTGACAGCTGCTTTTTCAATAAAAATGGAACTCGTAAATTTACAAACTTGGTCATCTGTTATTTGCAAAACTATTTTGTTAAAACACATTCTGATTGCACACACAAGTACTCTAAAGTTGACATCAAAAATATGCTTGAGTTTCTGCATTATTGATTGCGCTTCGTTATTTGCAGACCGATTATTTGTATTCATATGAAGCAGAATTTGTGCAACACTTGTTGTGGCCTTTAACTCAACATTTAGATATATCGACTACGTATTGTCGATTTACAATGGTAATTTCCATTCCTATGTCAATACGATATATCCTGGTGAGCTTGAAATAAAAGATATCACAGAGTCTGACACATCTGTTTCATACATGGATATTTTACTTGAAAAAGACGTTAATGGTAATCTATCAACCAAGCTCTTTGATAAACGTGATGACTTTAACTTTTCTATCGTCAACTTCCCTTACTTATGCAGATATGTACCTTCATAACCTGCATACGGAGTTTACATACCGGTATCTCGATACGCAAGAGCATGCTCTACATATGAACAATTTCTAAAACGAGGTAAATTATTGACAAACAAGTTAATGAAACAAGAATTTCAGCAGCATCGTTTAGAGATGCATATAAACGCATTAAACATATTATTTCCAATAATATAAAAATAGTAACAAGATGTGTTTTTGAAACACCGATGCCCTTGTATGGCAGCTAATGGAGAGGGTTGAAATTTCTCTAATGCAAGTTAAACTCCAAGGTCAAAGTCAAATTTGCTGGTAACCAATGGAAGGTCTTCTCGCAATGTACTCCTGAAATATTGAAGCCAAAGTACTAACGGTTCAAAGCTATGGTCAAGGTTAAAGTTGGTCAAATTCTTAGGTCAAGATTAAAAGGTCAAAATTGACGGTATTGACGCGCTTTCACTTGTGAAATATGAAAGCCCCAGCAATTGAAAAGTTAAATGGTAAATTTCAGAAAAATTTGGCTTTAGTTGGTCAAGCTCCAAGGTAAAGAGGTAATATTTTTGGTACCAAGAAAAAGGTCATTTCACAAGGAATACACCTATGCAATATAAGAGTTCAAAAGTTATGGACAAGGTTAAAGTTTCTGCGGACAAACAAACAACAGACAAACAGACAGACATACAGAAGGACGGACAGAGCAAAAACTATATACTCCGAAATTTCAATTATGAGAGCATAAGTCCTTAGGTCGGGGAGAAACTTAGCTTTTACTAAGTCCGAAATGTCTTACCTTTTTCAGGCTTTTTTTACGATTTTTATAATTTACGTGCCAGGAAAAAGTCAGAACCCCGGTGCTATTGCGAAAACTAGGAATTCGCCGCCTCGAACCGGGGGCGGCATTCTCGGATCGATTTTTAGATACATGCGAACCGAACTAAATGTCAAACTCATAAATTATCAACGGTACAATACTTTTAGAACTTAACAATATCGCTTTATGGCTCATTTATAAAAATATAAATCCGATGAAAACATTTTATCGGAATGTCGAGATTTGTCTTCATTTTGTGTATTTTAAAATCTTGCAAGTATTCTAACGAAATGGGGAGTGATATTTTATTTTCCTCGATATTGGTAAGTACTAGAGGGTTTGTGCTATTGAAAAATTCTGGTTTCGGCATTTAGTTCGCTTCTCTAGTATAGAAAATAAACGCCGGTTGGAGACAGCGAAATTTCCAGTTTTCGCAATAGCGTCGTTTCTGACGTAGTCGTGGCTCGTAAAATATCAAAATCGTTAAAAAGCCATGAAAATGTCAGATATTTCGGATTAGCAAATACTAAGCTCATTATGTTGAAACTACGGTGAAACTAGAATATAGAATATTCATTGAGTTTTTGAGACCTGATAAATTATTTCGCTATATTGATTTAAACATAATTATTTTGTTGAACACGATCAATGGGATTGGACACAAGTTATGCCAACTTAGATTGTCCTCTCCAACACAAACAAAAATAATTAAAATATGTACACGTGATGTACACGTAATGTACAAGCAACTAATATACAATGATTTAAAAAAGAAGAAGAAGAAGAAGAAAGGGGGTGTAGAGAAATGAGATAGGAAGGGAATGAGATACAAAGATACAAAAGAGTATAAGATACAAAATGGTTACGCTGATTATTCATAAAATCTTTTTGATTTTTTAATATATCTATGTATACATAGCTTTAACAATATTGATATTATTTTGTTGACCCAAATCTGGGTCTCCGAATAAGTGAATTTCAAGGTCTATTGCTCCGTTATTATTTTGTATAGTGTGGAAATTTCAGCATATTTTTTTACAGTACAAGAAGAAGCGTTCAGTGTTTTCATTGATATATCCACAAGAACACTGAGTGTTATCTGAAAGTTTAACTTTAAATAAGTAAATCCGACTTAAGGATACTTACATTGTGTCTTACTCTTGTTAAAGTTGAGTTTGTTTTTTTATCACCATAAAAAAATATTTTGGGGGATGTTCACCTTTAAAGAGTCTTTTTTGAAAGCATTTACAGGATCAAAGTTTCTAATCTCTGTAGGCAAAGTATTCCATTGTGATATTGTAGATGGAAAGAATGAATTTTGTAATAAGTTTTTTTACATTAAGGAATAGAAATATTGTTGAAATTATATGGCTATATTTGTTATTCATTACTTTTTTAACTAGTCTTTTGGTTACTTGGAAATAAACTTACTTGGAATTCACTGAGTAACGAAACAAGAAAATTAAATATCTTCAACAGGAATTTTTGAAAGACAAAATTAAGACACAATTGTATTTTAAATTATGATCTGTATAGATGTAATATCAAACAAATTCAAATTGTTTTGTGCTATGATAGAGGAACGTCATCATTTTTTTCTTTGTGTGTAAAGAATATTTTTAACCTGGACGTTTAATGATTAATAGATTACTTGTAATTCATAATGTAAAAATGATTAATGTGCATAAATTGCCATAGGGAGATGATTTCTTATCTCAGCAAGAAAATGAAGAAAAATTAAGTATTTTTCAAAAATTTATTCAGGAGACTGGTTGTTTTAGTTAACACGTATTTGTATTATCTTTACAGAAATTAATACCATTACTATTAATTGATATTATTTCCTTCTTCATTAAGACAATTGTTTTGTTCTTCTTTATACATGTACATGTATATTGAAGGCCTATATATTATTCTTAAAATTTATAAAAATTGTATGGATATTTAGATTTATGTATGGGAGAGGACTATCAACGTTTTTGAACTTGTATCCAATCGCTTTGATCTTTTTTCAAAGTTTATCAAATTGTTGATATCGAATGAAGGCTTTGTCATGAAGAATACATATTTGAAGCTTGAAACTCCAAAAGGTCTTAAGTTAAGGCCAAATCAAAAGTTTGGAATTTTTGTGTAAAAGGGCGTCAAACTCCAATGTCGGGGTCAAAAGATCAAATTTTGTGGGTTACAAGTAATATACATGTGAAATATGAAAGCCAAAGCCCCACCCAGTCAAAAGTTATCGACAAGGTTAACATTTTGCGGAAAGACAGACGACGGTCGAACAGGACAACAACTATGTATCCCCGAATTGTCAATTACGGGGACAAAAACAAGTTGATTTATCCGCCAATATAAGCATGTTCAGTCACCAGGGTGTATCATCTCTGTAAGTGGGAACATAGTAACGATTTAAAAATATATATATATTCTCTAAACTGGTGTGCTAAATGCCAAATGAAAAAATTACATGCACGTTTTGTAAAGGAAAAAAAAAATCTTCATATATTTAAATGTTTCGACCAACACTTTAAAAAAATTATAACTTCCATTAATAAATTCTGAGAGACCTAGGAATTCGACAAACCGTGCCATCTGTGTCCTTTACGCAGTAAATGGTCATATTAACGGATCTTGTGTTTCCAGCCCTTTGATAAGTTAACGTTGGTAATTTCTCAGTCATAGCAATGATTCGTTGTCCAGACTTTTCTTCGGAGATATCCTGAATAACCGAAGGACAGAGACAGTTTTCAGGAACAAGTTCATACAACTTCAAAGAAAACCTAGATGGGTTTTTCTTGTATAATTCTGTTTCTTCGATAAGATCTGCAATTTCTAGCAATAGAGAGAGAAATATTTATCAAAGATCTTGCAACAAACCAAAATTATTAAATATAGCTCTAAGATCATTTTTAAATACAAATGTATAATGATTCATTATCAAACATAAAACATTTCAATGTAAGTAATATACCAGAAATGAAATATCATGATAGCAAACAGCGATCAACCTCAAATTTCCGATGGAATAATTTGAAGCTAGGTTAAGGACGCCCATAGGAATTAAGCCTTAAAATATTCTAAGAAACGCAATATTTTTCATATTTTTTTATATGTGTTTTATTTAAAATTCTACAACTGCATGACTGTGTATGAATGGGGTCTCTACCGAGTTTCAGCATACCGACCTCGCCTAAATCAACTGTTTGTCACGAAATATGTTTGAAATAAAAAATATGTGCAGCTACAAAGATCGTTAATGTTCAACGATATACTGATAATTTTCACTATGAAATAATTTGTGTTTTATTCCTTTACCCGAAAATTACTTGGATCAACTTCCCTATGCCCGAGAATAATATAACTTTTAACATTATTTCAGAAAACAAAGAGCACAGGCTTGTCTATATACAAAATTTATACATCTCATACACTAGTATCAGATGCATTTAATGTATGAAAATCCTAGATAGGCAAGCTTGTGCTCTATGTTTTGCGAATAGAAATGTATCTCAAATATGCAGAAATCCCACCAGATTCGAAAAAATTTAGAAGAATGGCCTATTTCTACACCCTCTTTTGGCCCCTGTGTAAGCTTTGAATCAAAATTAGTGCTGGTTTTAAAACTTAAAAAAAGAGCATCATTTAAGGTTATCCGATCCTCAGGTTCTGAAAATCAGGCATTGAGTAATTGAAAATGATCACAAAGATGTTTCTAAATTCTCAAAGTAAAATGTATTTACCCACGGTGTCTCTTTAAACTTCATCTTTAAATTTAATCATATTACATAGGGAAAATTAGTAAATCTCAAAAATTTTTTTAAGAAATGCGATTAGAACTACCTACTGCAGATTTTCTAATCAATAATTGATCAAGAAATACATTTTAGGAATAAAAATCATAGGTATCAAGGCTTTTAAAGAAAATTGCATGATTTTCATAATTCGGTAATTTACTTTCTCCTATACTTACTTCATCGTTTCATAATGCATAGTGTATGAAGTGTTTCCTTTCAAAGAAAACATTGTAAATCACTTCTAATTTCAAATCATGCTTATAAACATTGGTAACTTAGGCTAAATTAAAAGAACTTTGATTTTTTTTAAATATGCAAGTTTTACTTAGTTTTATGAGGTACAAATGTCAACTTTTAAAATACCGTTTGTTAAAACTTTAAAGAACATTGAATCATACGTAGAGGCATAAAAAAGAAAATTGTTGCATAAAAAATTTCAATTTCAAGCTTTATTTTAAGACTTTTTGAATTAAATTATAAATCAAAGAGTTATCCTTCCTATCTGAGGATCGGATATCCTTAAAGTACTACAAAGTATCACAGTTTTAAAAGTATTCTGATTTGTGCATCAAATAAGGGGCCAGAATCGATCGATCGTTACCATACCTTATCCTTTCTCATCCTCTTAGTCAGCTCAAGATTTTCAGAGCACAGCATTAGCACAGAGACGAAGTAAACAAGGTTTCCCAAGCATAAACGAAGTAAAGATTGTAAAATACTAAGAAGAAAACTTGGGATGTTTTATTTTTAGATAAGGTATTAAACAGATCGTTAGTAATGTCCATTCTACACCACGACTAGTTTCTTAATACCCAAATTAATTTATTCACTTTTAATTATTGAGTTAGTTACTTTTTGTTATTTTTCACATAGTATACAAAACCTGGAATCAAGTACTGCAATAATCCTGTGTAGTGGGACCAGACTTGAGCATGTGCAATATTTCCTGCAGGCAAAAGTTCTTCTACACATTTTTTCTCTAAATAAAAATTAATTAAAATTCATTCTGTGAATACCGAAGTGCATAAAATATTAAAATAAAACAAAGCAATATCTAATTTTACCTCGGATTTTATCAACAAGTTCTTCTAATTTGTGGTTAATATCGTTGTAGTTCCCAATGTCTACACGTGGAACCATGTTTAGCATCTCCAATGCCTTGAAAAACAATACTGCATATAAGGTGAAAATCAAAATATCTTCCAAAAAGCCACAGCATTACATGTATTTACATTTAATTATTGAAATTACATCATTTTATGTATTTGACCTTACAACATTACTTGATACTTTGGCAATAATTTTGTACTAATGTATAAATGAATGAATTGATCTATATCATTGAGCACCTGTAAGTATGATTCTATACAAGAACTAGATCACAAATATTCGTACACCTATGCATTATCGTAAATAGTTCAATACCAATGGTCGCCGCGTGGTTAGAGTGTCTGCTCCAGAGTCGCGAAGTAAGGAGTTAATCCTTACTTCGCGGGTTCGAATTCCACTGTGGGACGTGGAGACCGGTCATTCGGATGAGACCGTATAAACCAAGGTCCCGTGTCGCAGTAGGTGCTGGCACGAAAAAGACCCCTCCCTGCTCAATGGCCCTGAGTGCCGAGTATAGGACAAAATTTGCAGCTCTCCACCGGCAAGTGATGGCGTTTCCATATGAGTGAAAAATTCTCGAGAGGGAAGTTAAACAATATACAATCAATCAATCAATCAATCAATACCAATGTCTTAACTAAATTTTATAAATCATAAACAGATTTATGTACAGTTTCATATCATATTAATAAATTTTATCAATGTAAAGTCCAACTGATATAATATCAAAATGCATACTTTAAAAGCAAAAACTGGTTCCAAAATTTAAGATATAGATCTAGATAGAAGTAGAGAAAAGCTTGTAAAACACATATTTTGAAAAAATTATGCATTTTCACTAAATAGTAACTTAAGCTCTCCTACCCTCATTAGAGTTGTTGACTCTCACATTTTTGAATGATTTGGGGCGTTCTTGCCTATCATAAACACGCACTTTCTTTAATTAAATAATAACCCAGAGCATCGAAGATTTTCAAAGAATTTTTGCTTTTTTCACTACATAATCAATATACTCAATTGTTTAATACACAGGGGCAGTGAAGAAGGTTTAAACAAAAAGAATGCAGAAATTAGTTTATTGTTTAAAGGTTTAAACCCAAAAGTAGTCCCAACCATTCCTTGAAGGGGAGAGGGTATGAATTGAACAAACTTGAATTTACACTACCTGAGAATGCTTCCATGTAAATATGACTAATCATGGCTTTGCTATTCTTGAATAGAAGATTTGTAAAGAATTTTTTCTATATATGTCTAAGTAAAACTTTGATCGGCCATTGTGGCCCCGCCCTACCTCCGGGGGTCATGATTTGAATAAACTTGAATCTAAACTACCTGAAGATGCTTCCATATAAATATGACCAATCATGACTTTGCTATTCTTGAGAAGATTTTTAAAGATTTTTCCTATACTATTATATAACTATGTAAAACTTTGATATGCCATTGTGGCCCCGCCCAACCCCGGGAGATCATCATTTGAACAAACTTGAATCTACACTACCTGGGAATGTTTCCTAATAAGTGACATATTTCCTTGCACAGTGGTTCTTGAGAAGAAGATTTTTAAAACGTGCCATTAAATTTTCATTATTTCTGAATTATCCTCCCTTGAATGAAAAAATGGCCCTTCATTTGAATAAACTTGAATTTTCTTCACCAAAACATACTTTGTGGCAAGTTTGGTTGAAATTGGCCCACTGGTTCTAAAAAAGGAGTCGAAAATGTGAAAAGTTTAGAAACAGACAGACAGACAGACGGACGCCGGATAAAATGTGATCAGATCTAAAAATTTTGAAGATCCAATGCGTTTTTACTATATAATCATTACAGCCCAACTCCTGATCTTGGGGGCATGAAATTCCAAATTTTGGTAGAAGCAGTCTTGTTCAACATAATAATGTACTTTGGTTAGTTTATTTAATACCCAGGAGTAGAGAAGATTTTCAAAGAAATAATGCCTTATCACTGAAAAATCTATATAGCCCCGCCCTAGCACTGGAACCCTGATCCAGGGACCATGAAATTCACAATTTTGGTAGAGGACTTGATTCTCATTACAATTATCCAAACAGTTTGATCGCACAATGTCAAGAAGTAAAGAAAAGGTTTTTTTTAAAGATTTGATTATTGATGGTGGTTTTGGTCCCTCCCCTCAGGCCCAAGGTAAGGGGAGACAGAGGCCATGAAATTCACAATATTTTACCCTTAGATGTCTTATGCCAAAATTGATTGAACTTGGTTAAGCGGTTGCAGAGAAGAAGCTGGTCATGAAAATGTTCAAATGTTAACGCACAACGCGCGACGACGGACAAAGACAGACAGCAATATGTTACCTGAGTTTACTCATGTGACTTCAAAAGCAATTTTTATCACCGGTTTGACCGACTGTTGCTTTAATTCTGTTTTACAAATTCTGAACAGTTTTCGCAGTATTTCGATCCTTTTTGTTAATATCAGTTAAATAATTGTTTTATTTTGCTCACATTTTTAAAAATATACTTTTAAAAAATTATTTACAGGTAAAGAGATGGTTCAGAAGAAGGGTGGATAATTTTAAAAGTTTTGTTATTTCATTTTTGGATCATAATGAAGTACCTGCGGTATTTTCGGTATTTTCTAAATAAAAAATGGCTACAATTTAAAAACTGTTCTTAAAAAAGGCAATATTAATATAATTAATTCTCCAGCAATCTGCCACAATTTATTTAGGTTCAACATAGTATGTATTTTACTGAAAAAAGACATATCTGAATATCCAGACAGAGCAACACGCCATTGATTTTCCTCTGCTGCCCATATTGCTTTGATAATTATTTTTGAAAATCCCTTCTTACTGTATATGATGCTACAATTGTTTTCAAATACATCTTAGAGCTGGTATTTGTTAGCAGTTTGTAACATGTTTTTGGTTGCCAAAAATTTTCAGATACATGGATATCAGAAATAAACTTATAGATCTGATAACGTACACATTTGTTCTGACCTATGGAGTCTACCTAAAGTAAGGTATGCGACATTTATCAATGTAACGTTGTCAAATCAATACTTACTATTTGATGTTCCCATTCCACTGATTTTCCTTTCCAAAGCACAACAACAGACATAATGTTACGTCTGTGAGATTTCTCCAGAGCCAAAATTAGTTCTAAGGAACACCATGGACTTCTGTGGGAATGTTCTGTTAGTATGATGAGGGACTTCTTGCACCTTTTAATTGCTAAAGCAATGTTGTCAAAAACATTTTCTCCACTTTTAAAATCATCATAATCAGTCATAACCTTAAGACCTTTAGATTCTAATAAAGGTTTTACAATTTTCAGTGCAAAATCCCTTTCCTCATATGGATCATTAGCATGGATAAGAAATACATCATGGGAAGTTTCGAAATCTGTTCCTTCTAAATCTTCTTTCATTTTTCTGAATAATGAAAAAAAACCTGTATTATTATCGTTTTCCCATCAATTGCACTTCAAATTAGGATAAACAACACAAACAAACCTTTTTCAGAAATCAGCATTATTTCTCATAGATTTACATTTAAACTGACAACCTGAATAATGTTTACAAAGTAGAGTGGGAGAATTTTATAAGATTTTGTCATCAAGTTAAAAAATTGTGCAAAATTTTGTATGGAATTATATAGAAGGCAAAATAAAATCTCAAATCTAAGCACCAAGGAAAACCTACGATTTCTTTATATTTCAGGGATTTATTATTTATATCAATTCAAATCAAAATCAGTCAAAAAATATATATCAACCCGCGCATCCATTTTTTTGTTTGTGGTAAGTACCCTTAAATCTGAACAATAATGGCTAAATACATATGTAATTTATTATGATCAAAATAATATCTGTGAGGTCATATGATTTTAGACAAAAAACAAGTTTATTATTTATATATGCAAAAGTATTTTCTAAAAATTAGATGAAAATACAAGTAGACTGTCAAGATTGTAATATTCTTTACACTTAAAATCTAAATAATTTAACATTATAAACAATATTAATAATACTGGTAGCATTTTATTATCTAATGACCATGATAGCTTTCACTTGTTTTCAAAAGCAAACAAATTTAAAAGAAGAGAATTATTTAAAATAGTTTAATAACAATGTACAGCAATTGTTAAATTTTGTACCTTAAACTTACATGACGGAAGTATTGAAACCATCTATTAAACAAGAGTGTGCCTCACATCGCTCACCTGAGCAACAGGCTAGATAAAAGCAAAAATCAGTTCTGTATTGAAAAGTTTAATTAAAAAGTGGGTTCGGGGAAGGGGAGGGTATTTGAAAAAACTGAAATCTATACTTCCTACGGATGCTTTTAAATTGTAGGATACCTGCCTTTTATGGCTTTGCTGTTTATACATGTATGATTAAAATTTTTATTGATATACGAGCCTATATATTCCTTTGTATAAATATAATCCACTTTTATGACTCCTCTTTTCTCCTGGTTGGTCATGATTTTAACACTTTTTTGATGCTTTTATATTGATGATCAATCATGGCTTTGGGATTCTTGTGAAGAATATTAACGATTTCTATTATTTATTCGTACATAAAAGCTTGATCACCTATTGTGGTTCCACTCTACCTTCGGGTATCATGATTTGAACAAATTTGAATCTACACTTTCTGGGGATGCTACTATATAAATTTGAACAATTGCAGCTTTGCCGTTCTTGAGAAGAAAATTTTGACAGATTTTACTATGTAGTCCTATGTTAAACTTTGTTTCCCCATAGTGGCCCCACCCTACCCCTGGGGGTCATGATTTAAACAAATTTGAATGTACACTACCAGAAGATGTTTCCATATAAGTATGTCAAATCATGGCTTTCCTATTTTTGAGAAGATTTTTAAATATTTTCCTTACGTATCCCTATGTTAAACTGAGATAACCCCATTGTGGCCTGACTATCCCCTGGGGTCATGATTTGAACAAAATTACATCTACACTTCCGGAGGATGCTTCCACATGAGTTTCATCTTTCCCAGTGGTTCCTGAGAAGAAGATCTTTTTAAGATGTCATTAATTTTTCACTAATTCATAATTAATTATAATTCACTAATTCATAATTATCTTCCCTTGGAAGTGGGTGTGTCCCTTCTTTTGAACAAATTTGAATTCCCTTTACCCAAGAATACTTTGTGACAAGTTAGGTTGAAACTGGTCCAGTGGTTCTTAAAAAGAAGATAAATATGTGAAAAATTTACGACGATATTACAAAGCCAATGACACCATCGACGACAGACAGCGGATAAATTTTGTTCAGAAAATCTCACTTGAACCTTCGGCTCAGGTGAGCTAAAAATACATCTCAGTTTGTACACATACGATATACTATCAACATTCAAAAATAAAAAAAAATGATTTATTTTTCATAAATGTCTTTTTGTTGAAACTTTGAAAACTATATACAAAGTAAAAAATAAACATGTTAATATTTCATCTTAAAATCATTTACTTCTAAAAATACTGGCTCAATCAATGCCATCTAAACTCATCTTCAGATGACAGTTAACTGTTTTAATATGATTTCCTTGAAACTAAACCACCTTCTCTAATAATCTATCCACATGCATGACTCATAACATTCATATAATCGTAGGGGCTTATAAGGCAGCAATTACATGTAAGACTTCATAATGATGCGTGCATATTATATGGAAAACTGGGACACATAAAGAGAAATAGTGGATAATTTTTCTGAATCTATAATTTTCGTAAGTGGATTTTCCAAAAGCAAAGAATCTAGTCTTTTCATGAAAATAAAAATCTTGAAAACAGTAAAGAAAACACCCTGAAACAAAGTTCTTTAAGAAATTCAAATATTTTGAAAATTAAAAGAGAAATATTTGATTTAATATTACAGCGATATTTGCATATACGTAGAGAGGTTGTAAGTTAATGATGGAAATATCTTAAATACAATTCTAACAGTATTTATGGTGAAGTTCACAGTCCGAAGGCGATCAAGTTTCCGATGAAACCTTTTATATGGCAGAAGCAATTGTATGTATTTATATTATTATATCTGATGCGCCAAGTATATCTATGAATTGCACATTCCATTTCAATCTGATAGTAGGTCGATTACTGATTATAGACGTTATTCATCTTTCGAATATATCTCATATCTACATATTATTTGATTTCTCTTTAACATAATGGAATCAAGAATCTCTATTAGAAGTTTGTATACGGTGATCCTTTCACAAATCATTATTTTAATATATTTTTTCGAAACAAATCTAAGACATATACAGCAGAGATTGAGAAAAAATATGCTAAAAAATCATCATTTTATTTTATTTTTACAACCAAATCCAACATTTTAAACGTTAACAGATAACAAATTATGCAAACATTATACTATAATCAGTCAATCTTATGCAAACTAGACGTAATCATTAGAGAGTTTGGTAACCAATTGTCAAATAAACTGATTTCAACGTCTTTTTAAGGACAACGTGACAAAGCAATGCATTTTGAAATGTGTACGGACGTTTCATTAAATGGCTTAAATTCAAACTTTAAAATTATACAAAAACAAAGAAAACATTATTCCAATCAAATCAGAACAATACACTACATAAAGGTGTTTGGAAATATTTAATCATGTTACATGTATGAGACAAATAATGTATTTAGTTTTAAATTTACACAAAGATAAAAAAAAAATGTACCCCTAGATTTCTATTGTAATTTAAAAGCCACATGTTGCACCTTCTGAAACCGAAACCAATACAATACATTAATTTACCAGACGTTTGATCGTTTAGTATAAACATGTCTATTTACGGCATTTTAAAATCTATTTTATTAATTGTTTAGGACAAGCCTCTTAAATGCAAAGAATTGAACTGCTTTTTACTTACGAGAAACAAACTTTAGGATAGATTTTAAAGTGATCTTTTCCTAACGGCGATAAGGGTTTTTCCACAGAGACTGCCTTTGTTCGACTGTAAGCGATAAGCGTAACGATTATCTAGCAGACTGGCAAAAGCAGTCAATCGTTAAAAAAATCGGGACCTCTCGGGCATCTCCCTCTAATAGAATTTAATGTCTATAAAACAAGTATTATATAGATCTCTTCCATCTTTACTCTACTAGAAATCACCCACTGTCAATATATATTGAATTAAGCAAATTGCATTAATATTAAACTTTTCATTTACGACCATTTGTTGATTTCATTTCCGACATTTTTAAGTTTTCATCTCCGAAATTCATTTCATTATTTTTTTTTTAATCATTATTAAATTTTATTAGAAAAACAAAGCACCATATACATGTCACACACAATGCATTGATTTGATAAGTTGAACAATTATATTCTTTCTATCTGACATGTAAGAATCATATGGAATAATTTAACACAAAATATCAAAAAGAAGAAAGGTTCCTTAAAAAATACAGCTTCATATCTAATGAATAAATGTATAAGTACCCTTACATATCTGGGAGACCTCATCTCCAGCTCAAATACAGTCTATTTATTGTTTTTTACGGTCTCATCCGAAGGACAGGTACATGTGTATCTACGTCTTACGATGGGATTCGATTTCAGTATATATTGGATTCCGAAACTTCACAAGAATCTTTACAAATTTACATAGCGGGTTCAAGTAAAGTTCAACCAAGCCTCTTTCTTTACTCCTTACTAAGATATTGACAGTAGTGAAGGAAAAACTTCAAGAGTACTATGCCATAATGTATTCAAGAAGTGGTGTGAATCAGATGTGGATACTCAAAATTTCCAAAGAACTTTTGGACAATTTGAATTTTTTCCGAAATCAACAGCTTAAAAAGTTTCGACTTACAAATTTATACACAACCATTCCCCACGATAGATTAGAGTCCAAACTTTTCTAAACCATTGACAGCTGATTTTTCAATAAAAATGGAACTCGTAAATTTACTTACCTGGTCATTGGTCATTTGCAAAATTATTTTGTTAAATCGCATTCTGATTGCACACACATGCAAGTACTCTGAAGTTGACTTAAAAAGATGCTTGAGTTTCTGATTGATAATATCTAGGTGATTTTTGGAGATCAGGTCTTCCAACAATCTATTGGTTTTCTCATGGGTACCAATTACGCCCCGTTATTATCAGATTTTTTTTTGTATTTTTGAATATTTTATGCCTGAAAAGAACAAAACACTTGCTGTGCCCTTCAACTAAACATTTAAATATATCAACGACGTATTGTCAATTAACAATGGTAATTTCCATTCCTATGTCGATACCATATATCCTGGTGAGCTAGCTTGAGATAAAAGATACCACAGAGTCTGACACATCTGTTTCATACTTGGATATTTTTCTTGAAAAAGACATTAATGGAAATCTAACAACCAAGCTCTATGATAAACGTGATGACTTTACTTTTTCAATCGTCAACTTCCCTTACTTATGCAGCAATACACCTTCATCGCCTGCATACGACGTTTAAATATCTCAGTTGATTCGATACGCAAGAGCATGCTCTACGTATGAATAATTTCTATAACGAGGTAAATTATTGACAAACAAGTTAATGAAACAACAATATCACCAGTCTCGTTCATAGTCATCATTTCGTAAGTTCTTTGGTAGATACAATGACCTTTTTAGCAAATATAATTTATCATTGAGTTAAATGCTGACTGACGTTTTTCATACCAATTGTTAGTCCATTATTAATACACTGAATTGGTGACGGATTTTTCCGTTAATTCCCTATCATGACAAGGAGCACACGGCGGGTGTGACCGGTCAGCAGGGGATGCTCACTCCTCCATGGCACCTGATCCCACCTCTGATGTTTTAGAGGTCCGTGTTTGCTCTGCTCCTATTTTGTATTGTTTTATGGACTTTGATATTGAATAATGTTCGTTATCTCCATATCCTTCACCCACCCTGATCATTGAGGTTCGGATTACTACCAGGGATTCTGATATTTTTTGCACCGGGTAAAATCTAGCAGTTTTAAATTTGAAATAACAGATTTCCAGCCCGAATTATTTTATCATATCAATTCGCTGCTATAACAGGTAACGTTTTTCGCCGATGGGGAGTTTGTAAGATAGTATAAATAGAATAATCACTTTATATGATACGGTTAAGCCTGTTTGCATCTAAGATTCCGTCTTATAATTTATTTTAGCGAATATGAATAAAACTGGAAGTTTTTAAACGGAAGAATCAACAACAAGATTATGACTTTAAAAAATAAAATTCTGATATTCAAAATTTATTATAAATAACAAAATCAACAGCAATATATTTATAAATGATCGCAAAACGTCACTTGCTAGATTTCAATGATAGTCAGGCAGCGACTGAATTGAAATCCATAATTTTGTTCTGGACTACAAATGTTAATGTAAATAATATTCTAAGTCTTTCACTATAATTTTAAAAGTAAATTTGAAAACAAAACTATAAGTTGACGCTAATGTGACGTAGCATAGCCAAAGGTGACGATGCCAGGGCTCGAGCTGTGATTCGCCATTGTCGCCAATTGCGAATTTTTTTCAAAAGTGGCGAAAAGAAATTCATAAGTGGCGAAAATGAACAAGTCCTGTTACAATGTACACAGATAAGTCCCTTTGTTTACTTAATGCAGCAGAGGTGAGAAAACTGAAACTTACATGTAGGAAATCACATCTTGCTTGAACGAACACAGCTGACTAGGTAACTAAAATTGCTTGAAATAATATGATTTGGATTAAACACTTGTTATTGGGAGATGAAGTTAGTAAATAAAAGATTTTTATTCTGGAAACCTTGTAAATACCTATAAAAATGTGTACATTAGTATAATAACTTACAAAGTATAAATGTGAATTATTTACCATGAGCTTGCATATTAAACCCTGGAGTCTCCAAGTTGTTAAAATAAAGTCAAGTTTCAAACCTAATTTTCATTACTTTTTAATTTACTTTTTTCACAATTAATTAAAGAAATGATGAAAAATTCCATTTTTAAAATATGTCATTTTTTACTAGGTCTGTAGCCCCCCCCCCTTCCCAGGCGAAAAAAAAATATAATCAAGAGGACATTTTCTGTCAAGAGTTGGCTGATATCAAAACAATATTAAATTAAGTGTGTAATTCCAACATTATTATTTTTTTTCTTTTTTTAAATGGAAACTACCATAAGCTTTAAACATTACAATTTTAAAACAATGTCTGTGTCAGATAAACATAATTAAAAAAAATTGAATAATATAAAGTGCATTGCATTGTCTAGAAATCAGATGTAAGTATGCTTTTCCTTAAAGCTTGTGTCGCGAAAAAGTGGCGAAAAATATTTTCGGTCCAGTGGGAGCCCTGGACGATGCATCACCATGACACATTTCAGGTAAAATCTGTTCATAGTATTCCGCGACCTTAAATACATATAATAGAATATGAAAGTATAAATGTGAAATGACTCATAAATAATGAAGATAAAACAATTATGAACAATAAATCTAAATGTATTTAAAACATAAAATAATGATAAATGAAAGTCGGTATAAATAAAGGTCATATATAAATATTTATTTCAAAAATAAAAAATTAAAAATCTTTACAGATTGATCAAAGAAGTTATTGGTGTGTTATAGTTATAGCTTACATATAGTTGTAGATTTTTGAGTTGTCATTGTGGGCTTTGAAATGGTTGTGGTTTGCGAAATTTTCTAATTAGTTGTTGGACTGTTGATTGTTGTTATTGTTGTTTGAATGTCTGTTCTTCTTTGCAGAGATGTAAAAATAGGCTATAAGATTGGTTGTATCTGGCGAGGTCCAGGAACAAATTGATGGAGTATTTGCAATTATTATGCTTGAAGTAGTTGAAATAGTTGTTGGAGTAGTTGGATTGGTTTTAGTACTTTTTGGAGTGTTTTATTAAGTTCTTGGACTTTCTACAGGGGCTATGGTGGTTAAAGAGTGTCTGTTGTAGTTGAGGGAATGCTTGTAGTTGTATAAGTTGTAGTTCATAGAGATGTTGTAGTTTAGGTGTTTGATTAAGGTCAAGATCTAGTAAATGAAGGGTGCCTACAGATTTATCAAAATCAAGAAAATGAATTCCTTTAATGATGCTTTATAACTTGAGCTTGGTCAAAAAAGGTGTTTCGGGGCATTATTTTTAGGAAAATAAGATGAAAAACCATATTTTAAACTGTCATTTTCAATGAAATATTAAGAAAACCAGTTATGAATATGGGAATTTTTTCCAAATCACACAAACAAAATGTATCCAGCTTGCCTACAGTCTTTCAGAAAACGGTAATTTGTATGTTCTTGGCCTCTTCTTTAAAATAATGTTAAATTTAATATAGGTATCCGGACTACTTTGCAGGTGATTTCAAATTGAATTCCATGAAAATACTTTATTTTCTACATAATTCTATTAGAGCCGTAAAGTACGGGAAAAGGAAAGCTGAAATTGATTATGACGTCATAATGGATCTAGCACCAAAAAGTTAGTCTAAGGACATTTACTAGATCTTGACCTTAACTAGTTTGTGGAGTTGTCAAAGTTGGTTGTTGGAATGGTTGGAAAAGTTGATGGAGGTGTTTTGAGAATGGTGGCTTGGTTTGGATTGGCTGAAGTTCTTGTTGTAGATATTGTAGTAGTTATTGGCTTTGTTTTAGTAGTTAACGTTTTTAAAGATGTTTGAGTGTACGTTATGTTTATTGGACTGGCTGTTGGTATTGAGGTCGTTGAATTAGTTGTCAGAGTATTGGTGGCTTTTTCAATGGCTGTAACTGTTTGCGGAAATGTAGTACCTGTAAGAGTAGTTAACGCTGGCGAAGTCCTGGCGGTAGTTGTTTTAGTTTAGGTTTTGCTTGACGTAGTTAAAATAGTTGCTCAAGTTCTTGAAGTTGTTATATTAGTTTTAGTCTTATTTGGAGAAAATGATATGGTTGTTGGAGTTGTAGTAGTTGTTGGAATTGTAAGAGTTGTCGGAGTTGTTGTATATGTTGTAGTTTTTTGAGTTGTTGTAGTTGTTGTAGCTGTTAGAATTATTGTAGATGTTGTAGTTTTTGGAGTTGTTGAATTGGTGGTTGGAGTTGTTGTAGTTTTTGGAGTTGTTGTAGTGTTAGAGTTGTAATAGTTTCTGGTGTTCTTTTAGTATTTGTTTGAGTAGTTGGAGTTGTTGTAGTTGTTGGAGTAGCTGTAGTTATTAGAGTTGTAGTTTGTGGAGTTTTAGTTGTTGGAGTTCTTTTAGCAATTGTAGTTTTTGTAGCTGTTGGAGTTGATGTAGTATTTGTTGGAGTTCTTTTAGTAGTTTTCGGGGTTGTTGTAGATGTTCAAGTTGTAGTAGTGGTTGGAGTTGTTGTCCCCGTTAGAGTTGTTGGAGTTCTTTTAGCAGTTGTTGGAATCAAAGTAGTTGTTGGAGTTATTATAGTAGTTGTTTTAGTAGTGGTTGGAGTTGTTGTCGTTGTAAGAGTTCTTGTTGTAGTTGTTGAAGTTGTTGTAGATGTTGGAGTTGTAGGAGATGTCGTAGATGTTGGAGTTGTAGTAGTTAAAGTAGTTGTAGGAGTTCTTTTAGATGGTGGAGTTGTTGTAGTTTTTGGAATTATTGTAGATGTTGTAGTTGTTGACGTTGATGTAGTTGTTGGAGTTTTTGTATATGTTGGAGTTGTTGTAGTTGTTAAAATTGTTGTAGATGTTGGAGTAGTTGTAGTTGTTAAATTTGTTGTAGTTGGAGATTTTGTAGTTGTTGTTGAAGTTGTTGGAGTTGTTGGAGATGTTGGAGTTGATATAGACATTGGAGTTGTTGTAGTAGTGCTTGGAGTTGTTGAAGAAGTGGTCGGAGTTCTTTTAGTAGTTGTTGTAGATGTTGTAGTTGTAGTTATACGAGTTGTTGTAGATGTTGGAATTCTTGTAGATGTTGGAGTTGTTGTAGTTGTTAGAGTTGTTGTAGATGTTGGAGTTGTTTTAGTTGTTGGAGTTGTTGTTGTAGTGGTTGGAGTTGTTGTAGTAGTTGCTGCAGATGTTGGAGTTGTTGTTGTTGTTGTAGTTGTTGTAGTAGTTGTAGTTCTTAATGGAGTTGTTGTAGTTGTTGTAGTAGTTGTTGGAGTTGTTGTAGTTGTTGTAGTTGTAGGAGTTGTTGTAGTTGTAGGAGTTGTTGTAGATGTTGGAGTTGTGGTAGTTGTTGGAGTTGTTGGAGTTGTTGTAGTTGTTGTAGTAGTTTTTGTAGTTGTTATAGTTGTTGTACTTGTAGGAGTAGATGTTGGAATTGTTGTAGTTTTAGGAGTTGTAGATGTTGGAGTTGTTGTAGTTGTTGGAGTTGTTGTAGATGTTGGAGTTGTTGTAGTTCTTGGAGTTGTTGTAGATGTTGGAGTTGTTGTAGTTGTTGGAGTTGTTGTAGTTGATGCAGTAGTTTTTGCAGTTGTTGTAGTTGTTGTACTTGTAGGAGTTGTTGTAGATGTTGGAATTGTTGTAGTTTTAGGACTTGTTGGAGTTGATTTAGACTTTGGAGTTGTTGTAGTAGTGGTTGGAGTTGTAGAAGTGGTTGGAGTTCTTTTGGTAGTTGTACTTTTTGGAGTTGTTGTAGATGTTGGAATTGCTGTAGTTGTTAATGTTGTTGTAGACTTTGGAGTTGTTGTAATAGTGGGAGGAGTTGTTGTAGTAGTTGTTGTACTTGACGTAGATGTTAATGGAGTTGTTGTAGTTGGAGATTTTGAAGTTGTTGTTGTAGTTGTTGGAGTTGTTGGAGATGTTGGAGTTGATATAGACTTTGGAGTTGATGTAGTAGTGGTTGGAGGTGTTGTAGAAGTGGTCAGAGTTCTTTTAGTAGTTGTTGTAGTTTTTGGAATTGTTGTAAATGTTGGAGTTGTAGTTGTTGGAGTTGTTGTAGATGTTGGAGTTGTTTTAGTTGTTGGAGTTGTTGTAGATTTTGGAGCTGTTATAGTTGTTGCAGTTGTTGTAAATGTTGGAGCTGTTGTAGATGTAAGAGTTGTAGGAGTTGTTGTAGATGTTGAAGTTGTTGAAGTTGTTGGAGTTGTATTTGTTAAAGTTGTTGTAGATGTTTGAGTTGTTGTAGATGTTGGAGTTGTTGTAGTTGTTGGAGTTGTTGTAGATGTTGGAGTTGTTGGAGTTGTTGTAGTTGTTGGAGTTGTTGGAGTTGTAGATGTTGGAGTTGTTGTAGTTGTTGTTGATGTTGTAGTTGTTGTAGTTGTTGGAGTTGTAGGAGTTGTTGTAGATGTTGTTGGAGTTGTTGTAGATGTTGGAGTTGTTGTAGATGTTGGAGTTGTAGGAGTTGTTTTAGATGTTGTTGGAGTTGTTGATTTTGGACTTGTTGTATATGTTGGAGTTGTTGTAGATGTTGGAGTTGTTGTAGTTGTTGGAGGTGTTGTAGATGTTGGAGTTGTTGTAGTTGTTGGAGTTGTTGTAATTGTTGGAGTTGTTGTAGATGTTAGAGTTGTTGTAGATGTTGGAGTTGTTGTAGATATTGGAGTTGTTGGAGTTGTAGATGTTGGAGTTGTTGTAGTTGTTGTTGATGTTGTAGTTGTTGTAGTTGTTGGAGTTGTTGTAGATGTTGGAGTTGTTGTAGTAGTTGTAGATGTTGGAGTTGTTGTAAATGCTGGAGTTGTAGATGTTGGGGTTGTTGTAGTTGCTGTAGTTGATGGAGTTTTTGTAGATGTTGGAGTTGTTGTAGATGTTGGAGTTGTTGGAGTTGCTGTAGAAGTTGGAGTTGTTGCAGTTGTTGGAGTTGATGAAGATGTTGAAGTTGTTTTAGTGGTTTGAGTGTTAGTAGTTGATGGAGTTGTTGTTGAAGTGATTGGAGTTGTTGTAGTAGTTGCAGCAGATGTTAGAGTTGTAGTTTTTGTAGTTGTTAATGGAGTTGTTGTAGTAGTTGTTGTAGTTGTTGGAGTTGTTGTAGATGTTAATGGATTTGTTGTAGTAGTTATTGGATTTGTTGTAGATGTTGAACTTGTAGGAGTTGTTGTAGATGTTGGAGTTGTAGGTGTTGTTGTAGATGTTGGAGTTTTTGGAGTTGTAGATGTTGGAGTTGTTGTAATTGTTAGAGTTGTTGTACTTTTAAGAGTTGTTGGAGTTGTTGAAGTTGTAGTTGTTGGAGCTGTGGTAATGGTTGGAGTTGTTGTAGTAGTTGCTGCTGGTGTTGGAGTTTTAGTGGTTGTTGGAGTTGTTAATGGAGTTGTTGTAGTAGTTGTTGTATTTGTTCTAGTTGTTGGAGTTGTTGTAGATGTTAATGGATTTGTTGTTGTAGTTGTTGGAGTTGTTTTAGTTGTTGTACTTTTAGGAGTTGTTGTAGATGTTGGAGGTGTAGGAGTTGTTGTAGATGTTGGAGTTGTTGGAGTTGTTGTAGTTGTTATAGTTGTTGTACTTTTAGGAGTTGTTGTAGATGTTGGAGTTGTAGGAGCTGTTGTAGATGTTGGAGTTGTAGGAGCTGTTGTAGATGTTGGAGTTGTTGTAGATGTTAGAGTTGTTGTAGTTGTTGTTGATGTTGTAGTTGTTGTTGTTGGAGTTGTTGCAGATGTTGGAGTTGTGGGAGTTGTTGCAGTTGTTGTAATTGTTGTAAATGATAATGGATCTGTTGTAGTAGTTATTGGATTTGTTGTAGATGTTGTAATTGTAGGAGTTGTTGTAGATGTTTGAGTTGTAGGTGTTGTTGTAGATGTTGGAGTTTTTGGAGTTGTAGATGTTGGAGTTGTTGTAGTTGTTGTAGATGTTGGAGTTGTTGTAGTTGTTGGAGTTGTTGTAGTTGTTGGAGTTGTTGTAGATGTTTGAGTTGTAGGTGTTGTTGTAGATGTTGGAGTTTTTGGAGTTGTAGATGTTGGAGTTGTTGTTGTTGTAGATGTTGGAGTTGTAGTTGTTGGAGTTGTTGTAGATGTTGGAGTTGTTGTAGTTGTTGTAGATGTTGGAGTTGTTGTAGATGTTGGAGTTGTTGTAGATGTTGGAGTTGTTGTAGATGTTGGAGTTGTTGTAGTTGTTGGAATTGTTGTAGTTGTTGTAGTTGTTGTAGTTGTTGTAGATGTTGGAGTTGCTGTAGTTGTTGGAGTTGTTGTAGTTGTTAGAGTTGTTGTAGATGTTTGAGTTGTAGGTGTTGTTGTAGATGTTGGAATTTTTTGAGTTGTAGATGTTGGAGTTGTTGTAGTTGTTGCAGTTGTTGTAGATGTTGGAGTTGTTGTAGTTGTTGTAGATGTTGGAGTTGTTGTAGATGTTGGAGTTGTTGAAGATGTTGGAGTTGTTGTAGTTGTTGGAATTGTTGTAGTTGTTGTAGTTGTTGTAGATGTTGGAGTTGTAGTTGTTGGAGTTGTTGTTGTTAGAGTTGTTGTAGATGTTGGAGTTGTTGTAGTTGTTGTAGATGTTGGAGTTGTTGTAGATGTTGGAGTTGTTGTAGATGTTGGAGTTGTTGTAGTTGTTGGAATTGTTGTAGTTGTTGTAGTTGTTGTAGATGTTGGAGTTGTTGTAGTTGTTGGAGTTGTTGTAGTTGTTGGAGTTGTTGTAGATGTTGGAGTTGTTGGAGTTGTAGATGTTGGAGTTGTTGTAGTTGTTGTAGATGTTGGAGTTGTAGTTGTTGGAGTTGTTGTTGTTGGAGTTGTTGTAGATGTTGGAGTTGTTGTAGATGTTGGAGTTGTTGTAGATGTTGGAGTTGTTGTAGTTGTTGGAATTGTTGTAGTTGTTGTAGTTGTTGTAGATGTTGGAGTTGTTGTAGTTGTTGGAGTTGTTGTAGATGTTTGAGTTGTAGGTGTTGTTGTAGATGTTGGAGTTGTAGATGTTGGAGTTGTTGTAGTTGTTGTAGATGTTGGAGTTGTAGTTGTTGGAGTTGTTGTAGATGTTGGAGTTGTTGTAGTTGTTGGAGTTGTTGTAGTTGTTGTAGAAGTTGGAGTTGTTGTAGATGTTGGAGTTGTTGTAGTTGTTGGAGTTGTTGTAGTTGTTGGAGTTGTTGTAGATGTTGGAGTTGTTGTAGTTGTTGGAGTTGTTGTAGATGTTGTAGATGTGTGAGTTGTTGTAGATGTTGGAGTTGTAGTAGATGTTGGAGTTGTTGTAGTTGTTTGAGTTGTTGTAGATGTTGGAGTTGTAGGAGTTGTTGTAGATGTTGTTGGAGTTGTTGTTGATTTTGGAATTGTTGTAGATGTTGTAGTTGTTGTAGTTGTTGTAGATGTTGGAGTTGTTGGCGTTGTTGTAAATGTTGGAGTTGTTATAGTTTTTGTTGATGTTGTAGTTGTAGTAGTTGTAGTTGTTCTAGCTGTTGGAGTTGTTGTAGTTGTTGGAGTTGTTGGAGTTTTTGTAGATGTTGGAGTTGTTGCAGTTTTTGGAGTTGTTGTAGATGTTAATGGATTTGTTGTTGTAGTTGTTGGAGTTGTTATAGTTGTTGTACTTTTAGGAGTTGTTGGAGGTGTAGGAGTTGTTGTAGATGTTGGAGTTGTTGTAGTAGTTGTTGTAGATGTCGGAGTTGTTGTAAATGCTAGAGTTGTAGATTTTGGAGTTGTTGGAGTGGTTGTAGTTGTTGGAGTTGTTGTAGATGTTGGAGTTGTTGGAGTTGCTGTAGATGTTGGAGTTGTTGGAGTTGCTGTAGATGTTGGAGCTGTTGTAGTTTTTGCTGATGTTGTAGTTGTAGTAGTTGTTGTACTTGTTCTAGCTGTTGGAGTTGTTATAGTTGTTGGAGTTGTTGTAGTAGTTGCTGCAGATGTTAGAGTTGTAGTTTTTGTTGTTGTTAATGGAGTTGTTGTAGTAGTTGTTGTAGTTGTTGGAGTTGTTGTAGATGTTAATGGATTTCTTGTAGTAGTTATTGGATTCGTTGTAGATGTTGAACTTGTAGGAGTTGTTGTAGATGTTGGAGTTGTAGGTGATGTTGTAGATGTTGGAGTTTTTGGAGTTGTAGATGTTGGAGTTGTTGTATTTGTTAGAGTTGTACTTTTAAGAATTGTTGGAGTTGTTGAAGTTGTTGTAGTTGTTGGAGCTGTTGTAGTGGTTGGAGTTGTTGTAGTAGTTGCTGCTGATGTTGGAGTTGTAGTGGTTATTTGAATTGTTAATGGAGTTGTTGTAGTTGTTGTTGTAGTTGTTCTAGTTGTTGGAGTTGTTGTAGATGTTAATGGATTTGTTGTTGTAGTTGTTAGAGTTGTTATAGTTGTTGTACTTTTAGGATTTTTTGTAGATGTTGGAGGTGTAGGAATTATTGTAGATGTTTGAGTTGTTGTAGATGTTGGAGTTGTTGGATTTGTTGTAGTTGTTGCACTTTTAGGAGTTGTTGTAGATGTTGGAGCTGTAGGAGCTGTTGTAGATGTTGGAGTTGTAGGAGCTGTTGTAGATGTTTTTACTATTTTTATAGTTAGTAAGTTAACTTAATTCTCATTATCCCGCCCTATTTCTGCTACAAATTTGTACTGTAGGAGTTGTTGGAGTGTTTGAGTTGCAGGTAAGTATTTTGGAGTTATGTTGATGTTGGAACTGGAGGTTTTTAAGTATGTTGTAAGTTGTTTAGTTGTTGTAGATATATTGCTATAGCTTTGGACCTGTTGTAGATGTTAATGGACCCAGTTGTTATAAGTAATTTATTGTGGGTTGTAAGAGTAGTTCTTGTAGATGTTGTTGTCACAAAACTGAGTTGAGCGTTGGAAGTGCTAGTGCATTATGGATTTTGGAGTTGTTGGAGTTGCTATACACATAGTTGTATGATACCACAGTTGGGTTGGATGTTGAGTTGTTGTCTCAAAAGTTCAGGCAAAATCGTAGGCAGCCCGGGGATGGAGTTGTTGTGGTAGTTCTTGGAGTTGTTGTAGAAGTTGGAGTTGTAGTAGTTGTTGGAGTTGTTGTAGATGTTTGAGTTGTTGTAGTTGTTGTACTTTTAGGAGTTGTTGTAGTTGTTGGAGCTGTTGTAGTTGTTGGAGTTGTTGTAGATGTTGGAGTTGTTGTAGTTGTTGGAGTTGTTGTAGATGTTGTAGTTGTTGTCCTTTTAGGAGCTGTTGTAGTTTTTGGAGTTGTTGTAGAAGTTGGAGTTGTTGTAGTTGTTGGAGTTGTTGTAGTTGTTGGAGTTGTTGCAGTTGTTGGAGTTGTAATAGATGATAATGATTTTGTTGTAGTAGTTATTGGATTTGTTGTGGATGTTGTACTTGTAGGAGTTGTTGGAGATGTTTGAGTTTTAGGTGTTGTTGAAGACGTTGGAGTTTTTGGAGTTGTAGATTTTGGAGTTGTTGTAGATGTTGGAGTTGTTGGAGTTTTTGTAGATGTTGGAGCTGTTGTAGTTTTTGTTGATGTTGTAGTTGTAGTAGTTGTTGTAGTTGTTCTAGCTGTTGGAGTTGTTATAGTTGTTGGAGTTGTTGTAGATGTTGAAGTGGTTAGAGTTGCTGTAGATGTTGGAGTTGTTGCAGCTGTTGGAGTTGATGTAGATGTTAATGGATTTGTTGTTGTAGTTGTTGGAGTTGTTATAGTTATTGTACTTTTAGGAGTTGTTGTAGATGTTGTAGGTGTAAGAGTTGTTGTAGTAGTTGTTGTAGATGTTGGAGTTGTTGTAAATGCTGGAGTTGTAGATGTTGGCGTTGTTGTAGTTGTTGTAGTTGATGGAGTTGTTGTAGATGTTGGAGTTGTTGTAGATGCTGGAGTTGTGGATGTTGGAGTTGTTGGAGTGGTTTTAGTTGTTGGAGTTGTTGTAGATTTTGGAGTTGTTGGAGTTGCTGTAGATGTTGGAGTTGTTGCAGTTTTTTGAGTTGATGTAGATGTTGAAGTTGTTTTAGTGGTTGGAGATTTGGTAGTTGATGGAGTTGTTGTTGAAGTGATTGGAGTTGTTGTAGTAGTTGCTGCAGATGTTAGAGTTGTAGTTTTTGTAGTTGTTAATGGAGTTGTTTTAGTAGTTGTTTGAGTTGTTGTAGATGTTAATGGATTTGTTGTAGTAGTTATTGGATTTGATGTAGATGTTGTACTTGTAGGAGTTGTTGTAGATGTTGGATTTGTAGGTGTTCTTGTAGATATTGGAGTTTTTGGAGTTGTAGATGTTGGAGTTGTTGTAATTGTTGGATTTGTTGTACTTTTAAGAGTTGTTGGAGTTGTTGAAGTTGTTGTAGTTGTTGGAGATGTTGTAGTGGTTAGAGTTGTTGTAGTAGTTTCTGCTGATGTTGGAGTTGTAGTGGTTGTTGGAGCTGTTAATGGAGTTGTTGTAGTTGTTCTAGTTGTTGGAGTTGTTGTAGATGTTAATGGATTTGTTGTTGTAGTTGTTGGAGTTGTTATAGTTGTTGTACTTTTAGGAGTTGTTGTAGATGTTGTACTTTTAGGAGTTGTAGATGTTGGAGTTGTTGTAGTTGTTGGAGTTGTTGTAGTTTTTGCAGTTGTTGTAGATGTTCGAGTTGTAGGAGTTGTTGTAGTTGTTGTTGGAGTTGTTGTAGGTGTTGTAGATGTTTGAGTTGTTGTAGATGTTGGAGTTGTTGTAGTTGTTGTTGATTTTGGAGTTGTGGTAAATGTTGTGGTTGTTGGAGTTGTTGTAGATGTTGGAGTTGTAGGAGTTGTTGTAGACGTTGTTGGAGTTGTTGATTTTGGAGTTGTTGTAGATGTTGGAGTTGTAGTTGTTGGAGTTGTTGTAGATGTTGGAGTTGTTGGAGTTGTTGTAGATGTTGGAGTTGTTGTAGTTGTTGTTGATGTTGTAGTTGTTGTAGTTGTTGGAGTTGTTGTAGATGTTGGAGTTGTTGTAGTTGTTGTTGATGTTGTAGTTGTTGGAGTTGTTGTAATAGGTGTTGGAGCTTTTTTAGTGATTGGAGTTGTAGTAGTTGAAGGAGTTGTTGTTGTAGTGGTTGTAGTTTTTGAAGTAGTTGTTGCAGATGTTGGAGTTGTTTTAGATGTTATAGTTGTTTTATTTTTAGTAGTGATTGGACTTGTTGTAGTTGTTGGAGTTGTTGTAGACTTTGAAGTTGTTAAAGTAGTGGTTGGTGTTGTTGTAGTAGTGGTCGGAGTTCTTTTAGGAGTTGGAGTTGTAGATGTTGGAGTTGTTGTATATTTTTTAGTTGCTGTAGTTGTTGTAGTAATTGTTGGAGTTGTTAGAGTTGTTGTAGTTGTTGTTGGAGATGTTGTATGTTTTAAAGTTTTTGTTGTTGGAGTTGTAGAAATTGTTATAATTGTTGTTGAGATTGGAGTTATTGGAGATGACGTTGTAGCATTTGGGATTGTTGTTGTAGTTCTTGGAGATGTTGTAGATGTTGTAGTTGTTGGAGATGTTGTAGTAGTGGTTGGAGATATTGTAGTAGTGGTTGGAGATGTTGTAGTAGTTGTTGGAGTTGTTGAGGTAGTTTTTGTTGTTGTAGTAATCGTTTGAATTTTTGTAGTTATTAATGGAGTTGTTGTACTTGTTGGATTTGTTGTAGTCGTTGAAGGAGTTGTTGTAGATGTTGGAGTTGTTGTAGTTGTTAGAGTTGTTGTAGTAGTTGTTGGAGTTGTTGTAGTAGTTGTTGTAGATGTTGTTGTTGTTGGAGTTGTTGTAGATGTTGGAGTTGTTGTAGATGTTAGATTTGTTTTATTTGTGGTAGTTTTTGTAGATGTTGTACTTGTTGGAGTTGTCGTAGTAGTTGTTAGAGTTTTTGTTGTTGTTGGAATTGTTGGAATTGTTGGAATTGTTGTAGGAGCTGTTGGAATCGTTGTAGCTGTTGGAATTGTTGTAGGAGTTGTTGTACTTGTAGTTGGTAATGGAGTTGTAGTTTTTGGAGTTGTTTTAGTTTTTGGAGTTGTTGTATTAGTTGTTGAAGTTGTTGTAGTATTTGTAGTAGTTGTTGGAGTTGTTGAAGTAGTGGTTGGAGTTGTTGTAGTGGTTGTTGTAGATGATGTAATTGTTGTAGTTGTTGGAGTTCTTGTAGATGTTGGAGTTGTTGTAGCTGTTGGAGTTCTTGTAGTAGCTGTTGGAGTTCTTGTAGATTTTGTAGTTGTTTTATTTGTTGTAGATGTTGGAGTTGTAGTTGTTGGTGTTGATGTAGTAGTGGTCTGAGTTCTTTTACTAGTTGTAGTTTTTGGATTTGTTGTAGATTTGTGAGTTGCTGTAGTTGTTGTAGTAGTTGTTGGAGTTTTTATAGTTGTTGTATTTGTTGTTGGAGATGTTGTATATGTTAAAGTTGTTGTAGATGTTGGACTTGTTGTAGTTGTTGGAGTTGTAGTAGTTGTTGGAGTTGTTGTAGATGTTGGAATTGTAGGAGTTGTTGGAGTTGTTGTAGATGTTGTAGATGCTGGAGTTGTTGGATTTGTAGTAGTTGTTGGAGTTGTAGTAGTTGTAGGAGTTGTTGTAGATGTTGGAGTTGTTGTAGTTGTTGGAGTTGTTGTAGATGTTGGAGTTGTTGTAGATGTTGGAGTTGTTGTAGTTGTTGGAGTTGTTGTAGATGTTGGAGTTGTTGTAGTTGTTGGAGTTGTTGTAGATGTTGGAATTGTTGAATTATTCGATGTAATTATTTTTAGGAAGGAAAGAGATGTTCCTCGAATAAGAGGAATGGTATTGTATGGTGGTGTGGTACTTTGTATGTGTGTCTCCTCCGAAATATGACCGTTTTGCACCGAAAAGTCAATAATATTTATCACTTTAAAGTGTTTGATTTTAACATTAAACCCCTCCAGATTTGTTGTCTTGTTATCTGAGTTCAGTTTTTGTTGTATATTTTCGTCGATCGAAGTGATATTGTTGTAAGCGCTTGCTTTTTCCACTATTGTTTCAAAATACAATGCGAATGTCACAATAATGCTTCCATTGCTAAGAAAAAGAAATAAAACTAAAAAAAAATACAATATCTACTTCAATAGATGGCAATCCGATTTGTTGTTTTCTATTTTACTTACCGAAGATAAATAACAGTACAGTTTTTTAAATTACGCAATCCTTTGTTTTCTCTAACCTCACTCTCCATCTAAAAGTCAAGAAGCGATTCGTAAATGATGTATGCCTTACAGAAAAAGTTTAGCAATGATAAAAACAAAATTCTGTATTTTTCTTACAATGTGACATATGGGTGTCTCTTGACTTTGAAACTTTCTACTTAATTCAAATTATATATCTTACTGAACAAAGAGCAAAATATGTGTTTGTTATTTTTTCTTTGTTTGTTCGCCAGATTTCACCAAGATATCACCAAATGCTGCATATTAAAGTACTATTTGGCTTCATGGTCCTTGAAGAGTAAGCTAACTTTTAATGTTTCAGCACTACATGCGACACAGCACTTCAGTAAAAACTGTTTCATTCGAATGACTGTTCACAACACGACGTATAGTTCTACTGAGATTCATAATCTTACTGGGCAACTCTACAAAATTACGATCTAACCAATGCACATCACGGGCCTTGTGAACCCACATGTTCTTACTGCGTACGAAGAACGGAAAGTGAGCTCCTCAAAAATTAACGTTTATAGTAGTGAGTAGTGTATCAAAACCCTTGATTTGCGAAGATGACTAGTACTCTAGTACTGGGTTTTATTTTTGAATGCGAATATATGAGGAAAAACTGTTGCTATAAAATAAGTAAATAAATGGCCCTATTTTACGATTTTCTTTTTCTAAAGCTATCTATACTGAAAGGAAAAAGAAACGCAGGGTAGTATAATATTCGAAAATTGTTTGACTGCACGACCGAAAATTGGTCAGATAAGAAATTTTGTTACTATGCACCAAAATTAGTGTTCAGAATTACTCAACCGTAAAATTTATGACGTCACATAGGGAAAACGCTAAAAAGCCCAAAACACGTGCAATTTAATGACGACGAGTTTGTCAACAAATCGTGTTGCACCATTTGATGCACCTAACGTAGGCACATTGTTTTTCAATCTTTAGAGACGATATGAATTTCTTGCAATCTTGGTACAATTTACGGAAGTTCCATGGGGCCTGGTTTTCGAATTGCCCAATTAATGACGCAGTTTCTTGTAAAATTTCTCCCATAAAACTTATTACCCGTTGTCAGAGAGGGTCTGGAATGGTTTTCAATCAACCGTGACGATGACGTTAATGCAAAACAGAGTCATGTTACGAACCGGTTATTCGTCATACCATCTCTTAAATCGCAACCCTACTACTCGCAAAACCGCCATTTATACAGTAGCCTATTATAATAATCATTACATTCACACGAAAAATGAAAGAAAACAATTCCGCAATTTGGTTTTTTGAGCCGGTGTCGCATAATATTTGGTCCGCCTCGTTTAAAGGTCCGGCCGTACCAAATACGATAACATATTTGGTCCGCCTTTTATAAGAAATGGTCCGGCCCGTATAAGAAATGGTCCGCCTACGTTTTATGGTCCAAGTGGTGAAAAAACGTTTTAATTTTGACTTAAACATATGAAATTAAAGCGATTTTGTTAAAACTATATAATGAGAGAAGGGTTTACCCTGTTGTGTTTTATTTTTTGTACAACATATATCTAGGACAAGAATCTATTCAGTTTGCTTTAAGCATTGCTGTTTATCTGATACCATGATTAGAAATAAAATAATGGCACAATTATTGTGCAAGTGTTTGTTTTTCTCTAGAATATGCCTTGTGTAAATTAGTTCGATTAAAGGTGTGAAATCTGTCAGTGTGTATAGCTAATAAAACAATGGGGGTGTGACGTATTTGTTTACCTGACAGGTACATGTACCTGCAGGTAGAGCCCGCGGCAGATGGCGCTGTAATTGAATGGTTTGAGAACTTAATGCTCATGTCTTACCTTGACATATCAATAAGTTTGGATTTTTTTAATTCATAAATAATGTCAATGAAATATTCATGCGTACACTTCAAACCTGTGACATTTATAATTATAATCGTAATTATATATTGTCTTTTTTGAATATTCAAAGCTAATTAAATGTGGCGTATCTGAGCTAAAAAATAAGAATACGAAATGAATGAGCGTAGATTTACATGAGATTTGATATTTAAGTTAAAAATAAAATTTCAATCGATTATGAACTTAAATATCCCCTTGTTTCTATAGTTAAATTGACTTTTAACTGTGTCTGATATTCAAATATCGAGTCGATAAAAATCGTTCATTGTTTTTAATCTCTAATGCCTATAAAACGCGATTGATTATCATTAAGATGTATAATTTTCATTATCCTCTCATTATTATTTATTATATTATTTATTTCATTATGCTTTTTCCGGATTTTAAAAATTTAAATTTTTATTTCTAACATTTTCTAGCTTTCAGTTCCGACATTTTAAAGTTTTCATCTCCGACATTTTTCAGGAAGTGCTTTTCGGTGATTAAAAATTTTAAAGAATAAATTACACTCTGTATAGACATTAGTATATTAAATGTCTTGGACATAAGTTCGATGCAGTCTTTGACATTTAATTTAGTGAATATTAAATATGATGAAAAAATTACATACTCTTTGAACTCTTTTAACAAGATTTGGTGCTGCATGTTCAATTGCATAAATACACAGATTTTGTAATACTGAGTATATTTTGTTAAAAAGTTGTGTGCAATAAATGAAATGAAATGCAAAGATCTAGTAGATATAATAATTAGCCTTTGAATAGGTAAGAAACAGTGTTAACTTATAAAAAAAAAACCACAGGGGATATGGTACTTTAGGTTTTCTCAAACGAAACAATTATAGGCTAACCCCAACTGCCCAATCAGTAGGCATGTTGTTTAATAACAATAACGGGTGTAGGGTAGAACATCGTGACATAAGCCCCTGTCACAGCTAGTGACCCTCCAGTTATTTACAACAATATTAAACGTAAAGAATGACAGATTTCTTTTATCAATACTATAAAGAAATATATTTTGAAAGATATGAACTTCAGTTTTTGTGAGTGGATTAGTCAAACGTTTATCATGTTTATAGGAAAGAAAGTGTAACTAAATGATTCGTGTTGGACTTACAAACATTTATCTGTTCATTCAATACTGATTAATCTGCCAGTAAACAAGGCGGTGAAGGTAAATGTATGTACATTTGTATTCTTAATATTTTTTTAATGATAATGTTGACATTAGTGTATTAATTTATACGACAAGAGAAGCATGTCCCATCTTCCCGACAGGAAACGCGATCAATAAATCTATACAATGTCATTCCTTTATTTATGTATTAATTTCGATTTCTTACTTATTGTTTACTATATTTTCTTGGAGAAAACACTAGCTATTAGTATAACTATATAATTATCCTTAATTAATTATCAACTTAATGTTGGGCGCGTTTGATTTTTCTACACCTTACTACATCCGGTGTAGACAATTTACAACTGATAATCAAGTGAAATTGGGTGTAGTGTAGCAAATTCAACATGGAAGTCAAAATTTCAACCAACTGAGGGAATCCTATTTGCAGACGATTTTTAATAAATTATTTGTTGTGATGGTGAACATTTCTTAAAATCCATTTAAAACAAAACAAAATTATGAAAAGGCAAAGATTTTGTTATAAAACATTTTCCTTGTTACCCATAATTACCCTAATAACTAAATATCTAGCCATAGTCAAATATATCTTTCTCGTCATTTGTCAGCCATATTGAATTTTCGGTTTATCGACACATGCCCTGCACACTTTATCACCACCGGGTGTAAGGTGTAGACAAACTTGCAAAAATTGCGTATTTCTTATAATTCAACTTATGAAGTTCTTCATATTCCATAATTAAGATGTACAAAACACGGTCCACTAAATTACTAAAAGCAAATTCATCACAATCAACCTATAAAATACTTGACAGTAAACTCAAATACAGAAAAAGAAATTCTGCACTTTTACTTTCTCGTCATTTGTCAGCCATATTGAATTTTCGGTTTATCGACACATGCCCTGCACAGGGTGTAGAAGGTGTACACCTAAAGTGTACACTTTTGCACTTGATTATTGAAAAGTGTACACCGGGTGTAAGGTGTAGACAAATCAAGCGCGCCCGTTGTGTTCCTCTCACTGGCGCATGCGCGCGTCGTTTGGCTAATTTTTTGGCGTTGTTACCCATGCCCAATATAGCCAGTGATTGAAAGATAAACACTCTGATGAATTCCATGCAATTAAGGAGAAATAATGCTCATGAAAGATGCGCAGGAGAGACATTAAATATAATGAGAGTTTTCGATTTTCACTTTTGCGGGGTATCGTCACATGAGCTTCAATAACTCATTAATTATTAAACAAAATCAAATGGAATTTTGGTTATATTTTTTGAAAGATGATTTTAAAATTTAGATAGGAATACTAAAACAAGAGGCCCAGGGGCCACAGCGCTCACCTGAGTACATCGGGCTTTAATTTACCCCCCCCCCGTTCCAGGCGTTCTTCATTTGAACAAACTAGAATCTACACTACCTGAGGATGATTCCATATAAATACCCCAGGTATCACTAATCATAGCTTTGAAGTACTTGAAAAGAAGATTTTAAAAGATTTCCCTATATATCCCTATGTAAAACTTGGGTCGGCCATTTTGGCCCCACCCTATCCCCAGGGCCGGGGGTCATGATTTGAAAAAACTTGAATCTACACTACCTGAGGATGATTCCACATGAGTTTCATCTTTCCTGGCCCAATGGTAATTGAAAAGGATTTTTAAAGATATTTCCTATATATTCCTCTGTAAAACTTGGGTCGGCCATTTTGGCCCCATCCTTGCCCCGGGGGTCATGATTTGAACAAACTTGAATCTACACTACCTGAGGATGCTTCCACATGTGTTTCATCTTTCCTGGCCCAGTGGTTCTGGAGAAGATTTTTCCTATATATTCCTATGTTA